TTTCCTGACGTACAGCGTACTCGTTGCATGGCAATTATTCACCGTATCGTCCATGACACTATCTCCTGCACCTGGCGCCTTGTGCGAGCGTCCTTGCTGCCGCTGTCTTTTGCCTTTAAGAAAGATGGCCGGCCTGCTGCTCGCATCGTCCCGTCGATCTACAAAGCAGCCCAAACACGCCGAGCTGTCCCGGCGTTAATGAAGCTGGCCGATCACTCCCGTTGTTTTCTTCCGTCCTTTTCTATTTCTGCTGCCTCAGTCTTGTCTGTCTCTGCTTTGCGTGTCCTTGCCTGCCTCAGCTCGTGTCATTACGCCGACGTGACCATGCTGAGCTACTATTCTCGCACTACTTTTCCTAGCCTCCGTCCGCTCTTCCTCTCTTTACTACGCCGCCGGGCCACGGTCGTCACCGCCCGCCCATCGTCCCTCTCCCTTTCCCCCTCGTGTGTGTGCGTATTCCATTCCTCACGCTGGAGTCGCTGCCCTAGCTTCTGCTTGCCCCTCTGGTCTGTGCCGTCCTCCCGGGCCCACTGCAACCGCTACGCCCGAGCACGCGCCGCCCATCACCTTGCAAAGCCAAAGCCCCATACTGCGCAACACCCGGGCCTCCATTCCCCCAGCCTCGCTTTCCTCACTGCGCCACCCAGCCCCTGGAGCGCCGTCGTGGTCACCTCGCGGGGGAGCGCTGCGCGCGCGAGCCTCTCAGCCCGCTGCCACCGAAGCGTCCTAGCGCACACGCTGCTCACCCGCTGCCCTAGCCCCACCGCATCTCCGTCGTCGTTCGCCCGGCTCGCTCTGCTGCTGCTGCCATGGGGTCCCGCCTCCATGGCTCCTGTCGTGCCCCGCAGCGCTGGGCCATGACGCCAGGTCCGTCTGGTGCCGAAGGGGGCCTACCCGTCGCCGGCTACCACGTGAAGGTGCCCCCGGATCCCACACGTGTGTCCCCACTCTAGACCGCTGCTGGGTCGCCCTGCTGCTGGCGCCTGCGTCGCCTTGGCCTGCTTCCCGCGCCCCGGCCAGGCCGTGCGTCCCAGAATCTCGCTTGCCTCGCATCATGGCACCTCTTGTGCCCGCGCGCCGGTGTCCCCGCCGCCACCCATGGCGCGCCTTGAGCGCGTGCGAGTCCCCACACCCTTCGCGTGCGCTTGTGTACCCTCACGGTCACGCTGAACTACCGCCCTTTCGTGCTCCACAGCAGCCGCAGCGCCTTCTGGTCACCGACCGTCGCTCGCGCAAGCGCCTGGGCCCGTGTCACAGTGCCTCCCGCCGTCGCTGCACCTTCCGTAGTTTGCCCCCGACCCTCCTTTGCGAGCACCGGCGTGTTCCGCACCGGTGCCCCCTCTTCTTCATCACCGCCTTGGCCGTGCCGCCGGCGCCCGTGGGTACGGCCGGGTCCGTTGCGGCTCCTGTGTTGTCTGGTCATCGTTCCTCCGGCGGGAAATCGGCCGGAGGCAGTCTGCCTCTGCTTCGCCATGGCAGGAGAAGGGTAAGGATTGCGGTTGAAGAATTGTACAGGGTTGTTATTGTGAAATACGTGACTCATTTAAATAGTGCATGTGGATCTCGAGTTGAATAGAGGTAAACGTAGGGACGTTTTTGCAAAAATCGCCTAGCTGGTTTGGGGTAGGCTGCGCACTGGGCCGGCTTGCCGCTGACTGCGCGCTGGGCTGCTTGCGCCCACCGCATTGGGACGTTCGCGCCCGCGTGCTTAGGCCGGCCTTGTGCCTCCGCACCTGGGACACGCGCTGCGCGTCTGCATGGGCCGCTGGCTCCCACTCGTCCGTCTGCCTAGGCTGCCTTGTCGCTGGGCCACATCTGGCCAGCAGACCGAGCACGTGTCCGCGGGCCGAGCCAAGCCGTTGGCCCTTTAGTCTTATAAAGCAATTGTTAATTTAGTTTCGAGAATAAAACTTGTAAAATCAATATAAAATTGTGTAGTTGTCCAAAAATGATGAAATCAGTTTTGTTGAGTTCCTTAAATCATGATCTATCTAATAGTATATTTTGTTCACATAGATTCGGTATGTTTTTAGGGTTGCTCTAATTATTTTAACATGCTTAATACTGTTAAAAAGTGAACTTGTAGGAATTTCCGTGATAAATCGGTGATAGTATTAACTCTAAAAACTTTACAGTAAATTACTAATATTATCTGCTCATAGTAATTTTTGTAGCTCAATAATAATTAGTTTGCTAGGTAGATAATGATGCTCTATTTTGAATAATGATTAAATCGATAGAATGAAATTGAGAAACAACTTGGATTTATATAACTAAAACATTTGTTGGGAAATAACGCCTTTTTCGCCCACATGGATATGTAGCCTAAGTACGGATGTCGTTAGAACTAGCTCATTAGCTTGTGAGGCGTGATCAGGTTTCTAAGCATTTTGGCTGTCGTTGATTATTTACATCTATGCATTTGCATCAATGCATATCATATAGGTATGATGATGGATCAACGGATCTATTGAAGGATGATTGGGAATCTGAAGATGGTGTAATGGTATTATCTCCAGGAAAATATAAATCATGGAAAGGAAAAATGGTGACCGGGCAGGGATATGGTTTGGGTATTGGTGGGTGTAAGAGGTTTTGTCGCCGCGGCCGCGGGGCATAGCTTGGTTGCACTGCTATCCTTGAATGTGTCGGTTAAGGACCGGCCATTGCATAAAGCTCTAGGCAAGTTACAGACTTATTATCCTGAGCACATACTTGTGTATGGGTGCTTGGAAGACTTGTTACTCTCTTGTCATGGGTTCCGGCTCTTTTCGGATCGATTGTCTTGGTGGTTTTTAGGTTAGGAGGTCCTTGCACCGCATTGAGTCCAGGACTCAGGGGCAGGGGCTTGGAGTCCTAATTTGGACGGGGACCTAGACCCTGTGACAGGAGGGTAGTGGGTTGGTCCTGCTTGTGCCCGAGGTACAAGCGGGGCGTGTGTTTTCGGGGTACCCAGCTGGGAGCATTGATTCGTGAATCGTCGGCGTTCTAGTACGGCTTGTCTATGGTTTATCATCGTAGTAAGAACTAAAAGATAGAATGTGATGAAAAGGAAATCTAATTGCTTACCACCTACTTGAAAGTAGCACAGGTGCTTACATAGAATGGTTAGTTAATGAACCAATGTGGCTGTTAATAAAAATCGAATATAAGAACACACATTTAGTAATGCTTCCTGTAAATGCAATAAACCCATAAGCCAGATAGCCTTGCATATTCTTAGAGTCTTTTCTTTTCTCCTGTCGGGTAAGTCTTGGTAAGTACAATTGAGTACTCAGGGTTTTATTTCCCCCTATTGCAGTTGACAGGTGGATGCTAGAGCTAACCTTTGTGTGTGGATTCCTCTTGGTGGGCTCAGAGAGGATTTTCTTTACGCTGCGATCATAGTTTTTATTTATAACTCTCACCAAATGTTTTTATAAATGAAAGTTTATAATCTGTTGTCATAGTTTACATATCAATGATTCATCGTGTCATGATTAGATAATTATTTCCGCTGTAATTCTGATCACATGTTTATATTCCATTGTTCAATTAAATTGTTCATAACTCTGATAATATGATTACATCCCGCTGTTAAAACAATAAATATTATACTCTGATGTTGTATTAAAAGTTAAGAAATTGTTAAGAATGATGTAAGCTTAATTCTCTCATTTGTGATCCTGGTGGAAAAATGTGGATTTTCGGGTTCTCCCTTGGGGTGTGCCCGATGGAACTTCGTAGTTTGGTGTTCTCCCTTGAGTGCTTAGTATCTAATGGAAGACAAGCACTCCTGGGAAACATTAGATTAGGCGGTTCTGCCACACGGAGTGACCGTCGGTGCTCCCATGAGAGAGGAGGGGATGAGGTAAATGGAGCCGGGGCAAAATGGTCAAAGAATATGAAAAGTTACGCTGAAAAAACTTCAAAGTTGTCTAAAATCACAAAATGGCAAAACAACATAAAGTATCGGTTTCATAGAGGCATTCTAGCGAAGCCTACAATTTCGATGGCATTTGAGTGAAACCCATCTACGTAAGGGCAAAATTCTAATTTTCTCCTCGTGCTGGACCTGTCAAGGGTTCCCACTTCCCACCGCTTTGTCGTAGGCTCGGAGCTTCACGACAAGCTGGGTTATTTTGGCCCGCGATGATAATATTACAAGTGGGCCGGACTCACCTAAGCCCACGAACCATGAAAGAGCCCAACAGTACACGCCCTTCAAGAGCCCACTGTCATTCGTGACAGATCGTGATGGCAGGAGCAGGTGCAGCTGATCCTCTGATGAATGCTCATCAATTCATCATGGAGAAACATTGGCATGCATAAAGGGCCTCGAGCAAGTTTCTGTGCTAGGATTGGAACACATCGTCCGCCGAGGTGGTGGTCAATGCTATTAAGAATCAGTTTTTTTTATAGATCTCTGGGTATATATTAGAGCTAAAATGTTATATGATTTTAATGTTTGTTCTCTCTCTCACTGCCCTCGGGCTTGTAATGAAGTTGCTTATACATTAGCAGCTATGGGGTTAAACTGTAAAAGTGGTCCTATGCTGGGGCAGGATCATTAATGGAAATCTCTTTTCCATCTACTGTATAAAAACAAAAAAACAAAAGAAAACAAAACATCACAATTCGAAAGCGCATTTCAGACGTGTCACCCGCAACAGACGATCATCAGGAAAAGGTATATAATCCCTGAGATGTAGATATCAGGAAATGGAAAATTTACTACATACTTTAGTAAACAAGATACATACGATCATCTGACGGATTACCAACGTAGTACTTATTTGCACGAACTCTCCCAAACAACTCTACAACTACAACACGCATGGGATTGTTCTACAGTGGCCCAAAATGTGGATTCCTCCAACCAGACTACTCTCCTCATCCCATTTCCACTCGGTTTCACGATGACCTATCCCGTGACATATACTACTTTATTACAGAATTTGTACATCAGTGATGCGCCTCATGAGACCCAACTCCATAGGACGGCTTGACGAGGCGTGGGATTAGAGCTTCCTGCTCTTCAGGCAGGTTTTCGACAGAATTCTCTTCCCAAACATGTTGTTTCGAAGAGCGCCGACGTGTGGCTTGATGGCTCGGACCAATGCAGCCTCAACCTCAGCACCCTGCAAGTTACAAACTTTGGTTCAGAAAGAAAATATTCGACATGTTTGAGGAAAAAAACAAACTATTCTATATGCTTGAGGAAAAAAAAACATGATGGTGTGCATTGTATGTATTTTACCTCGCACTCCCGGAATGCTGTTTGGATCACATAATTCCCATACTGATCAAGCAAGATATTCTGCAGCTTGGGGTCATTGATAAGCTCAAGGATGATCTTTGCACGCTTTGGCTCCCGTGCTTCTTTCAGGCATTTCTCAACCACGTTGCTGCTGCACTTTTGCATCGACAGATATCCATAGCTACCCTCAAGCTTGTCCAGAATTTCATTCGTCGCCCAAGTAACCTTGAGGTCGAGTATGAACTGTATTACATAGTTCCTGCAGCGATTTGTTCATATGCTCAGCATTCAAAAGCCGAGGCCACAAAGGAATCAAAGTTACATGAACTCTGAAGGCAAAAGGCAACGTACATACCCATACTGGTGTTCTGCGAGATCGAGAGCCCGAGTTGTGATACTGTACAACAACTTGTTCTTCTGCTCCTTATTTGCATGAATAATACATTTCTGGATGATACAACAGCCTTGCCGATCCTTTGCTAGCTCAACGCAATATTTTGTGGCCGCATTGAGAAGGAACTGCAATGGTAATAGTAGACCAAAATCGAGTTTACGAATTGGTAATAACAGCAAAGAAATACGTAGGAGTGGCTAAGTACATTTATATTATCATTTTCTTGTTCCTCGATACAACTAGCATGAACTTGGCTATACTTCCCAACATTTCCTCTAATTGAACACCATATGGTTAATTCAAACATCCTTAGTACTATGTTCCACCAAACAGCACGATCTGGAAGGCGCAAGCAGAAAACAAATGCAAAGTGCACGCTTAGATCCTAATGCACAACAAAGTCCTAACAGCAGACAACCTGCAAGAGAGGGGATGGCTTCATCAGGAACATTGTATTTTGTGTAATGGACCTTTGAAGATAGGGCTTCATCTCTCTTTGCTTTGCCCCTTTGCAAAGGCCGTTTGGGGCCAAGTGTTATCTTGGGAAAATCTCATGGTGCAGCTGCCGCAGCAGGACCACTCCTGCATTGCCGAATGGTGGGAAGATGCAGCAAGCAAGATCCCAAAACAGGAACGCAGACGTTTCAATGGAGTACTAATATATATTGTGTGGAACTTGTGGAAGGAGAGGAATAGGAGGATTTTTTAGAACGAGTTCAAAATGGCACAGCAGGTTGCCTCATTGACCAAAGAGGACATTGTGCAAAGGCGCAGGGCTTTTTCCTTTGCGGGGTGAAAAAACTGAAGGTGGGAGGGGTGTATCTACTTTGGTCCTAGGACCGGTGTGATTGGCCCAATGGGTGCCATGTGTACATAAAACACTCTCTTTCCTATACTTAATTGAGCGGCAGAGCTCTTGCCTTTTCTTTCAAAAAAAATGTTCCACCAAATAAGAATTCATTGTAGAGCACATTATAAATTATTTTAGATGACTGTACTGGAAATCTTGGAGACATGTATAGCAAAGAAAATTTTGAAGTCAAGTGATAGTTCAAATGCAGATAGCCAATAAATGTTCAGGAAAGGGATATCATAGACCATGATGATTAAAGTAACTTGGTAAGACAATTAGCAGCACTGCAAGTTTTAAATGTGCAGCAAGAATAAAGTCATAAACACTATGGTTGCTATTAAATGATGAAACACTCTCCAGAAAGGTGATCAAAATATATCACAATTGTCATAGGGGATGGTCGATCTAGGAACAGCCCAAGCCCTGGGCCAGGAACCATCTTTACAGGCTTTAGTTCGCATCAGTTTGAATGTTTATGCTTTCTCGGTATTACTTCCCATGGCCTATTATTTTGTATATATCTTAGGACTGGAATGAAGCCCTATTTGCCCTGAGCCTGGACCTGCCCTTACTAGGGAATCAGATTAAATTCCAGCAATACAGGATGTTGAGACTAAAAACTTAGGAACAAAAAAAAGAGACAACGTGAATTTACAATCAGGCCTTTGAACGTTCTTAGTTCTCTTACAACAATAACCGTAGTGGTACATGCTTTTTTTTTCAGGAGCAAACAGGTAGGAGACCTGCCTATAATATTGATAAGATGGCATAGCCAGAGTACAAAAGCCATAGACAGCAACACAGCAAATAAAATTTGCAGCCTGACAGGCCACCATGGTCTCTGTTATGAATGATACTAGAGAATTATTTCTTTCTTTATTAGCAAGGCTGCATTCAAAAGAGAGTGCTACTATTGGCAAATACAACTAGGCACTGACAGTATTTTTTTTAAAAAAAAAAGACTGCATACAGTTACTTCCAATTTAGATGTCCCAAGGTATGAAACAAGATTATCGTTGTTATCAAAACAAAAATCATTGTACGAACCTAAACATAAAACTATGCAAACTAGTGTATAAGCACCAAGAAGGAGGACTAGATGGCAGATGGTTACCCAATGGATAACAAAAGCAGGATTTAGAGGTACTCGATGATGGTTACTAGGGCATGCTCAAACCATACTGGATATTTAGTTTTATGTAGCAGAGTAAAGAATTATAACAATATGAAGCTGATAAAAGGAAGTTAGAGACAGTCAGACAACATTAAAGGCATGAGTAAGGCTACATTGGATTAAAGTAAAAATGTCTTACTGCTTTGCACTCAGGTGACAGCTTCTGCAAGCAACGGTGTGCAACGTGACTGCCATTGGCATCCATCATCAGAGTAATGGCACAGTGGCTCAGAGCAGATACTACCATGGAAACTTCATTTGAGGTACTAACAGTTTCTATCACCTTTTGCACCACACGTGTCCTGGATTTTTAAGTTCGAAAACAGTATAAAGCTATGATAAAATGAAAACGAAAAGAAAGCAATTAATATCAAAAGCATGAAGTGGACATACCCATGCATGTTGCATGCAACTTTGACTAGCTGGCCAGGTATTTTGGTTATTTCATAAAGTATATGCATCTTTTGATTATCATTGCACTGCTCAAGTAGTTTTTGTATCAAGTAATTTCCAAATGGATCAACCATAAGTTCATCGATATGCTCAATTACACCATCAAAAACCTTTTGGGCATCCTCTTGAGAACCTTCTGTAAATATCCTTTGGAGGAAATGGCAACCATTCTGATCCTTCGCCAAGTGGTACAATTCTCCAACAACTTCATCAACTGAATTACAGTTCAGTTGGGCAGATTTCATGGCCACCTCAGAATCCAAGGATGACGGTGAACTTTTCACTTTATCATAGATGCAATCTTCTAATAAACCTTTGGGTGAATGCCTGAGCCCAAATGAATGTTTGAGCTTTTCAGATAGCTGAATCTGACAGTATTCACAGGTTTCGCATAAGCAATTAGGATAACTTGTACAAGGACAATTATTCACACGTGTCAAACTCCGTCGGTTACTTCCATTAGGAATTATAGCACCATTCCAGTAGATATCAGGACTGCCATGTCCCAGATGACGAACAGTGGGCACTCTAAGGTGAGGTGCAGCTGCATACTTGGTTGATGAGTAGATAACACCATATTGATTGCTACTGATCCAATGAACATCAGCAGCCTGTGGAATTTGCTGATAAGAATACTGTGGCTGCATGATAAAATTCCTCTCGACATCAATATCATGCCGCTTGAATTTAGAGTCCATCTGCTGCTGATAATAAGGGGCATATGTTTGTGGGTGCCTATCGATAATGAGATGTTGCTGGAAAGGCAAAGCTTGTGGTAAATTGGTTCTAGCCACAAAAGCATTATCTGTGCCATGCATCCCTGTGTACATTGGAGGATTTTGTGCACCAAAATTTCGTTTCATGTGTCCAGCATTGTTGACCATCAAATATGAAGGCACAAACTCATCTTGACCAAATGCTGGCTGAAGTGGCAGATTTGTTGGGTTGTCAGCTGATGTAAACAAATAGTCTGCAAAACGGAGCCCATCCTTGGATCCAACATTGCCAGAGTTAGCAGAAGAGTCAGCAGCACTACCAGTGAAGCTCAAGCTCATGTTCTCAAATGCAGATGCCAATGACTGATCATCAAATAAATTGGCATTGTCAATGGTGCCCAGACCATTCTGAGCAGGGCTTCTTTCACTCATAGGAACCCACTCTGCCTCAAGAGAAGAACACCCTGCAGATTGTTCCCCATGATCTGCAAACATGGCTCCAGTGATGTTGCCAAGAAATGACTGATTGTCCTGATTACCCGGCACTTCGTCCATGCCAGTACCAGCCTACCAGGACAGTCCACGAAGCCAAAGTGCCAAACTCGATCACACAATGTAGGTAGATTCACCAACACTACGGCACCCAGAGTTGGATGTGACGCACGAGTACCACGAAATCACCTACATGATCACAGTAACAAGGACAAAATCGTTACCAAATAAAGGCAAGCGTTGGTACGAACGATTTGGCATGAAGACAAGAGCAGGAGACAACAGGGTGTCCGGGGAAAACAGGGGAATCGCCACATGTCAATAGAATTTTCGTATCCAGATGGCAAGAAGGACAAGGTACCTATGACTATGGTAACGCCAACTCTAAGAATCCCAAAGAATCCATAAACACAACAAAACCGTGAATAATCTTGGTTGGTGAGCAGAGCATGAGATTTCGCTACTGAATCCTTGATTGTATTGCGCTTGCGCAAAGATGACCAAAAAATGCGCGGTGAAACTGGCAGCAATCCGATGCCACGAAACCCACCCGCACACGCCAAGATCGCGAAAAACCCCGAGAAAAACCCCCCCGATCAAGAGAACGCCTCGCCAATAACCGAGGACCGAGGGGTCCCGCCGCTAAAAAACCGATCGTGCCAAGAACCAACCGCGTGATCAAACCGATCGAGAGATATACGGAGCCCCGATCGACCCAGACAAGAGACGCCACAGGGAGGGGGAGGTAGTAGTAGATGATTACCAGGAAAGGCCTCAGGGGAGCACGCGCATTAGCAGGAGCGCCGCCGCCGCCGCGCGATCCAGCGGCCTCGGGGGAGGGCTCGAAGGGCGCGCCGCCGGGGAGAAGAGAATTGGGGAGAGGCGGTGGTGGAGACGATGAGTTTCTGAGGGATTTTGAGGGCAAGGCTTGCGCTAGAAGGAGATGAAACGAGGAGAGAGGTGAGAGAGGGGGGAAAAGAGCAGAGGAAGACGGGGCATTTGTTTCTGGCTCCCTGCGGCTTGGGTTCCTTCCCCTGTTCTGTTGCTGACGCTTCTGCCCCTCCCTCTCTCTGCAGCTGGGATATCATCTGGGGGCAAGAGAGGGTGACACATGACATGAGGCTACTAGCCTGCTGCCATGCAAGCATGCACGGACTGCATGCAGGCCGAACCGGAAGTTCTTGAACCTCGTTCAAATGAGATTATCAATACAAATTGAATAGTGTTATTTTTACTCCCAACCTTTTTTGGAAATAGTAAAAGAAATTATACTGCCCCGTTTGGCAGGGCTTCTCCAGCGGCTTCAGGAGCCATTTGGAGCCGTTTTCTGCCAAACGGGGTAAAATGAAACGGCTCCACCGATGAAGCCCCTAAAAACGTGCTCTCACAGAGCTTTGGGGTGGGAAGGAGCCAAAAATAGTGGCTTCTCCCGGCTCCTCCTCCAGGCCCCTAAAAACATGCTCTCACAGGGAAGCCATTTTGCCAAACGGTTTACCAAAACCGCTTCAGCTCCACCGGTGGAGCTGTTCGTGGAGCTGAAGCCAAAAAAAATGGCTTCACTAGTGAAGTGAAGCCCTGCCAAACGGGGCCTTAAAGATAATACTTCAGCGGTATTTTTCAGTGAGGAAACAATATTTTTCTCTTACAACATTTTAGCATCAGCGTCAGCATAAGCCGAATTTCAACGAAACGAACAGGGCATAATCACTTTATTTTTTTCCCTCCCCGATATCTATTGCTTTGGAGTTAATGGTATTATGCTCTTTGTGGCTCTATTTAATAGCATCTATGGTGAGAGAATTATAGTCACTTCTCTACTTGTTTTTAAAGCAACATGATGGACCCACTAAGAGTCACTTCATCTTGTAGCTTTGTCTCTTTCCAAGACACTCACAGTAGGTCAAGTCATTTCATCTTACACATTTCTCAACTCCCAAGACATTAAATGATTTCATATTTGCTTTCTCTCTTTCATCCTAAGGCCAATCTTAGTGATGAATTGTATGGAGTTGTTATCAAGATTGTCATGTCAGTGTTTATACCGGTTTAGTGGCTTGTTTAAACAATGCTCCGATTGAACTCATTTTTCTTTTAAATAAAAATTGATTGATTTTGAGTGACTTTCGACTTTAGCTCGGCTGGTTACGCTCGATTTATGTTTTTAAGTTGGGCCTTGTTTAGATTGCAAATTTTTGCAATCCGAACACTGTAGCACGTTTCGTTTGTATTTGACAAACTTTGTCCGATCATGTACTAACTAGGCTCAAAAGATTCATCTCGTGATTTACAACCAAACTGTATAATTAATTATTTTTTTTACCTACATTTAATGCTCTATGTATGTGTCCAAAAATTGATGTGATGGAGAGAGAGTAAAAAAACTTAGAATTTTGATGGGATCTAAAGAAGGCATTGGTCTCACTAGAAACGGCATCAGAAGCACCTTCTCAGTTGGTCTTTTCATATTTGTTTCAGGAGTACTTAGAAACAGCAATGACAGATTCTATCCTGCCTTTTTTTTTAATGGCTTTGCTTCCCCAGCGCGTGTTCCTCTCGATATCTTATCTGGTTTCGTGGGGAAGGGTCCTCCCTTTGGCGGGCGTCTTAGTGCTGAAGGTATAATAATATAGTAGTAGTTCAAGACAACTGAGCGTTTGTTTAGTTCGCGAAATTTAGATTTTGGGGTTACTGTAGCACCTTCGTTTTTATTTGGCGAATAGTGTTTAAACATGGACTAATTAGGCTCAAAACGTTCGTCTCGCAATTTCCCACCAAACTGTGCAATTAGTTTTTCTTTTCATCTACATTTAATACTCCATACACGGACCGTAAACATTCGATGTGACAGGTACTATAGCAACTTTTTAAAAATTAAAGTGGAACTTAACAAGGCGTAACAACGACCCACCCCTAATAAACTACTACACAACCATGGAACCGAGAAGGCACGGAGTGCGCCATTGCAGTTGGAGCGCCAAGGAAACTGCAGGGAAGGACCCAGGAAGCTTCACCCCTTTCCCTCTCTGCTGCGGCAAGTACACGCATTTAATTCGCTGCTTTCACCTGTGCTGCTGCGCAGATGTACTAGACGCCAAGTGTACGTACTACATGCCGCATTTGGCTCATCATCTTGTGTTCCACTTTAGCGCACTGTAGCGATAGCCACTCCTGTTAGAGTATGGTATCTCTGTATCTGTATCCTCCTGGTTGGTTCAGGTCGGCTTGTAATTGATTCTCTTTTGGATTTGGATCTTGTTAGGCGATGCGAGAGGGAGCCGAGATGGTGGTGAGTACCGAGATTAGGTGGAGACGTAGTGTAGATGTAGGTCTGGTTCGCTTCGCTGAAAAAATAAGTCGAAACACTGTTCTGGCTGATTTGGTGTGAGAAGAAAACATGGTTCCGGTAGAAAAAACAAGTTAAAAAGTACGGATTATGGCCCTGTTCGCTTCTCTTATAATCCGTACTTTTCAGCTTGTTTTTTTTTCAGATAGAACAGTATTTTTTCTCACAACAAATCAGTCAGAACAGTGTTTTAGCTTTTTTTCCGTGAAGCGAACGGGCCCGTAGAGCTGTGGTTGTCGCCATGTAGGCGTTTATTAGAGCTTGCTACGGTTCGTCCAGCTCCGGCTCTTTTTGCTAGTATACATAGAGGGGCTGGATTCGATATAGGCAAAAAGAAATTGTTGACTCCTGATTTATGTTAAGCCAAAAATACTAATTTTTATAGCGTGTGCACTGAGGAACTAGTGAAGTCGGAGCAAAGCCAAAAGCTCCACCAAACTGGTCTTTTTCTCACGGGGGGCTTATTGGAGATTATTAAATGTGCACATCACGCATGTCTAAGGCGACTGCCAAAGCGCTGCCGAATGGCTCTTGGATCATCCATCGCTGTTCTGTCAGATAGTAATTTCAGCAGCCCTGGATATTAGCCCGCGTTTAGTTTCCCAAAGTTGGATTTTGGAATACTGTAGCACGTTCGTTTTTATTTGGTAAATAGTATTTAATCATGGACTAATTAGGCTCAAAATGTTCGTCTCGTAATTTCCCACCAAACTGTGTAATTAGTTTTTTTTCGTCTACATTTAATGCTCCATTCACGGGCCGCAAATATTCGATGTGACAGGTACTATAGCAATTTTTTAGAATTTAGGGTCCAACTAAACAAGGGCTTAGTAGTCATTGAAGATCCATTATATATATACAGATGATGTTTATAATTGATGTGGAAGAGCGTAAAAACATTTTTATCACAAGATTTTTTTTTTCAGTTTCTGCAACAAGCTGCTATGATCATGTACCAGAGAAGCTGTGAGCTGAATGTTGGTGATGTTGATGATGGGCAGGAAAGTCAACACTTGCATTGTTCAAACTTGCAGTGAATTAGTTTTCACTTTTGAGAACAGTGTGAACATGTCACCATGCAGTTCTGCTGCCTGTTTGTTTCGGCTAAAACGATCGTGGATTATAAACCAGAAGTACTGATGGCTAGTTTAGTGTGAGAGAAAAATATTGTTCTACCTTATAATCCACGATCGTATACGATCGTATAAGTCCAGCCAAACATGCTGCTAGTCTAGACATTTGTGGATCCTTTTGCTTCCTTGTGTAGTCGTTATGTTTTATTTGATTTATAAAAATATATAAATTCTATTACCTACACTATATATAAATATATTAATTAATATGTCATTTATATTCATGATTTTAAAAATTATTGTAACCATGATCATCTTATTTATGCTTGATCTTTATTTATCAACCAGCAACACAATAGATACATGAATCATATTTACGTCTAATCATGGCTACATACAAGCATTAAAGAATTAACTGACAATCAAATAGATGACCCATACTATGTGCTGTCTGTTTAGCCTTTTGTACGTGATCTGACATTATTATACAGACAACAAGCGGGTTGTATATGCCCTTAAACGTTATAGTTTTAGCATTAGTTGTTGGCTCCATCTGAGTACAAATAAAAAGAGAGGAAAACCTGTATGTACGTGATTGTTGCCTTTTGTGTCAGAAGTTTGCGTAAGCCTCGAGAGAAAATACTCTA